CCTTGGTGCAAATAAAGTCCTGTTAAAAGTATTCTCCAGCGTCTCCTCGTCCCTCGTGTGTGTGCACCCGTGACAATGTGAAAGGCATCAAAAAGTTATGATCATAAATGCTATTAGAGGCTAAATGATCGCTTTGTCTGAAGAATAGATGCAAAATGTGATTCGCTCTTGTTTCAAGTCAGTCCAGGTTGATCTTTTTAATAAAATGTGACTGCTGTCATCGAGGGGAAAGATTTTCTGCAACTTGGCACCTTGCACCTATAACACAAAGATATGGTATAGCTCCAGAAGACCGTTCTAGAAGACAGCGGCTTCAGTTCCTGCTTCTGCCTTTGCTTCTGGCTGTTTTATTTAATTAATCTTGCAGACATTAATTTGTTGACTGACATACTTTGAAAAAACACTCTACACAAAAAAGCCCCTGGAAAAACCGGAATGAGAAACCCTAATGAACCTATATAACAAAACAAGACACACCTGCAAACAATTTACATGGAAAATGCCAGAAATACCAGACAGACAATACCAACGTATGCCATAGTCATACAGTACGCTGAACTTCTGTAAACCATTAAGTTCAAAAGTGTATATCCTCATGGCTTATTACATTGCCTTTTTGAGCATCAATAAGTGTTTACACGTCTTGTAGTAGATATGCACGAATCCCTCAATTGTGTCCTATAAGTGTGAAAAGCAGGAGCTCCACATCATATAGCCACTGTTGGGAAAAGCTCAAACGTGCAGGACATTTAGTAGGGACGTCCCTACTCAGGACAATGCATTCACATAAACTATCACAAAACATACAAACAGTCATTGACAAAGTAATCTACAAAGCCTAACATCCGGAACATATGTGAATATATGTTATGTACAGGATCCCTCTTTATCATTTCAAATCATAAACATCTTGCTGATAATGCGAGAGGTATACTAACTCATCTGTATAAACCCAGCTGATGCACAAGAGTGAGATACAGTATGCTGTTCAAACAGGTTGTGTGCTGTTCATCCCACCGATTGTACCGAAACCTCAAAAATTCAGAAATTTAAATAGATGCCCCCCCGCGGAGCAAGATGACACCACGTCTTGATTTTTTCTCTTGACCATAGATGGCACAAAATCTCATCTCAGCACTTTTGATGAATGGCTACGGTATTTTTAATTTTGCCATTTCATCTAAATATCAACATTTGTGAGACTTATTCAGTCAAAACAGTTTTGAGGTTCTCTGTTTTCTGGAAAATAGTAATCTATGACATTGTATTATGTTGAATTTCAGAGTTTTCTGTGTCTATTTGTTAATGAAGGATAGAGTAAAAATAGTTTTATTTTGAAGTAAAAAGATAAAATAAGACCCTTAGGATAAGATGCAAATGTTTCTATGTATGTATGTATTTATTTACTTATATAATGAACTGGGGCTATGAGTGTCTCTTAAAATGTATTGCTATGATGGCTTGTCATACAAAGACTGAAAGGATCAGGGACAAAGGTAAAACTAATTTGAATGTAATTGTTTATATAGCAAAAACATCAGATAGTTTTAATAAAAATCATCCTGTGGCACATAAAAGTACCTGAAGTTGAAGAAACCCCTAGACTCTTAATCAATCACTGTCAGTAAATATCTTCAAACAAATTGTGACCTCAGTAGTTTCTATTATGTTCACACATTAATTTTGTCATTTTCAAATTCTCACTTTCATCCCTTCAAACACCTCTGAATATTGTATGAAAGTATCACTCTGCTCAAGATTGTCTGCTTTCAGTCTGCTCCTCAGGGGAAGGACACGCTTTAAAAATGGATGGACGGTGTGGCATGCTCCATCTGCACCATACAGAATAAACATTACTACTGTCCTCTTAATTACAGGAAAAATAAACGGCTAATTCCAAAACCCTGTAAAATACACAATAAGCTGCATTCAAATAATAAATGTCTTTTCAAAATCTGTTTAATTACAAAAAAAAACATTCTATGGTTTGGAGGGACTTTATAATTTGCATACCTCTGAAGTAACGTTATCCTTTTAACTCAGAAAAAGTGATTTAAGTTCACTCATGCAGTAAATAGTGCTGGATAAAAGACTCATTTAACCTCCCTAGTGTGATGAAGCAGGCAGGTAGAAGACGAATGAATGCCTTGTATGCAAAGGTATAACAAATAAAAAAAAATAAACTGCCCATTTTCGATATTAACAAATATACAGTAGGTCATCATTTCAAAATCAAGATTATTTTAGATGCACAAAGTTGTTATTGTATAAAGTAAAGAAACCGTATTTCGGAAACTATTATAAAATTGGTTTAAAACCAGTAACAATGACACTTTACCGGTGTGACGTGAGAAGGGCCCTGCACACCCTGAAAAATAGGCTGTACCATCAGGGACATCTCACCATCTGCTGCATTAAATCGGTTGGAGAGATGGATGAGAATTACTGTGAATGAGCACTGGGGTATTTGTGTACTGACAAAAACAAAAGGCAATAGAGCTACACTT